AAAAATATAATTAGGTAAGTTTTTGACAACTGACGGTTTAATCTGGTTTTAACCCTCATGTCTAAAAATATAAAAAAAATTGACATTGTTTTTGACAATTGTTAAAATTTTTGAATCATGTAAATCGAATGGCGTTTTCATACGCTACGGACTGACGATGTGCCAAAATAGTACCAAAATAGAATAACCATGTTTTTTTTTGCATAATTCGTAGTGAAAATCAACAAGGTAAACGAAAAATCTCAATTTGGAAAAGGGAAAATTAAGCACTTTTTAAAAATACCCAATGAAAAAAACACCTTTAAGGGCTTTTAAAAAATGGAAATCGAAAATAAGCACCTTTAAGCACTTCTTAAAAATGCAACACTCCCTGAAAAACAAACTAAATCTTAAATGACAGTCTAAATAAAATACGCAAAATAATAATACTAAGTATCTATGGTCAAGCTTATTTTCTTTAGAAAGGTTAATATAATTTTAAAAACATTCAAATTCAAGTTTTTAAGCAATTGTCTTACAATATTGAATTTGTTTTAGGTTATAAAAATACGTAGTTTTAAAATAAACACAATTTTTTTTATATCTGACATAACAAAATAGGGGTTTCTTTAAGTATACCAAAATTTTAATTTAAAAATAAAATAGTAAATGTTTAACTTACTTTTCATCAGGGACATTTGTGCTAATGTACTTTTCATAGACTATACCACCATCATCTGGGAATATTTCTTCTTGATATATGATGATGTTCTTTATAAGCTCATTTACTAGGTTCTGATATTGAACCTGATCTTTGTCCTCAGGAATGGGTAGAAGAGTAGGACCAAAGCAGATTGCCAGGTTATACGGATCCATCATATTTTCATCACTGAATTCTGATAAGCTAAAAATAAATTGATGCATTGCAAATTATAGAAATTGTATAATGTACATAAATTGCAAGAGTTATACATACATTTTTTATAGGGTTATTCTAGAAACATTTGTTTTAAATATTTAGGGTCTTAAAATCGTGAGCACATTATGACTGACAGAGATAAAAGCTCTATTAAATATTGACTGACAGAGATAAAAGCTCTATAAAATATTTGCATAAATCTTTTGAAAAAAATTGAAATTTTAATTTTTTATTTTATGGTAAGCACTGCATTCAGATTGAATGACAAGTTATAAAAAAAATAATAAAAAAAAAAACGTTTTTCTTAATGCACAAAAGACACTAACAAGACTAGACTAAGGTGCAGAGCTCAAGATAAATATATGTATAGATATAATATAAAAACTTAATTCCTTTATTTATTAATTTTTTAATGAAAAATATTTTGCAAAAAAACTAAAGAATAATAATAAGTTTTTAAACTTCTATTTAAAAACTCGTTCATGATAAAATCATTTAAATTCATTATATAAATGGGAACAGTTACACTTCTCTGAAATTTTAATTACAGCATTAAATCTGAAAACTTCTTTTTCAGGCACAAAAATAAAAATAATGACAAAAACTATGAAATAAATAACATACCATCAGACTCATGGCTAATATTTTTAAAAAATACTAAATGCCAATAACTATTTAAAATAACTTATTAAATTTAAAATTACGTTGCCAAAAATATAATGGCCGATTGTGGGTTAACCAAACTTATATATATAAATTAAAACCAGTTTGTTTTGATTTTGAAATCGATAAATGAATACAAGTACAAATGAGTTAAAATATTATACATTAAATTTCAAAATGAGGCACATTTCTCAGTAGTTAATTTAATTTCTTTTACACATTATTCAATTATACAAGTACAAGTTTTTAGTAACACTGCATTAATTATTTATTGCTAAAAGATAATAAAAAAAACTTACTGATTAAGGAATGCAAATAAATATCTGAGAACAATGACAACTGATCGAGGTAAATTATTCACAACATCTCTAACTCTATAGATGAACTCTTTCTTTGACTCCACTTCTAAAACAAATAAAAGGAAGTTGCATGCTTAATCATCACAAGACAATTATTTTTACATATATATTTTAATACAATTTTATCTAAAACTTGATCATAAAATTACATTTGAAACATATATATATATATATATATATATATATATATATGTACAAAAATAANATATATATATAAATTAATATATTAGAAATAAATTTATATTACTCAATTATTAAATTTTTTTTTGTCATTTAATGGTGTCTTAAAAAATGCAGTTAACACTCAATCAAGTGCTTGAAAATTAAAAAAGTTACAGAAAGTGGAGTTAATTGATGTGTCGAATGAAGCATATATGTCTTAATTTAATAAAGGTCAGAATTAAGTAACACTATGAGGACATGCACATTTTTTTCCCTTTCAAAAAGAAAATTTTGATGATTTATGCTGAAAATATTCATATTCATTTCAAATATTCATATTTGAAATTATGCTGAATATATTCATATTCAGCATATTCTTTGTGTATAAATACTAAAAATTTGTAAATAATTCTAATATATGAATTTTTAACAGAAATCAAATAATTTATATAATAAATTTTTAAACTTAAAATATAAATTTAAAATTTGTATTTAATTTATTCCTTACATTTATTACATAAATGTGATGTCGTCAGAACAGTTTCTATTTCAATGCTTTAACACACAGCAAATGTAGTCTTTTTAAAATAAGTTTAGCTTAAAAAATTAAATCATAATAACCTATTAACTTAATTTTATTAGCAGCTTATTTAAATATTCATTTAAAAAAATCACATATCGTATATTTTTTGTTTTTAAACTTCAAAATAAAGATTTATTTGAATATGAATAAGTTTTCTTTATAAATATCCATAAATATAAGCTTTTAATGAATAATGGTAGTACAATTTTTAAAAATGTAGAGTAATAAATAATTCATATAGGAACAAAATATAATTTTACAACATAACATATTTTACAACATTATGCTATACTTTTAAGCAATGTTAAGTTTCAATATAAAATGATATAAGTAAATATAGTAATAATATGGCAGTACAGAACAATTTCAGAGTGAGATGAAATGCACCACCTTTTGTTTTTTACATCATGGTAGAAAAAATCATACTAAAGTTGAACAATGATAAGTACATTAAAATATATATTTAGAGATATCTGCAACCGAGTTTATTTGAAAACTACATAACAATTAAAAACAAAAGAATGATTAGCAGTAATAGTAAGAAATATTTTTCAAAATAACTTAAAAATATTTTACAGGTAAACAAGATTCTAAATACAACATAAAATTCAACTAACTTTATTGTTTAAATTTTGATTATAAAAAAATGGAAAATCAAGAAACATACAGAATACTTTTTGAATAATGCATAATAAAATTTACTTAAAAAGCACACAATGAATATTTAATAACAAATTAGTGATTTAAACAGTTGTTTACCAAAACATAAAAGCAACTTCTGAACAATCATATTTTAAGTTAGTAGGAGGAATAGCACAAATTACGAAAATCTTCCAAAAATTAAGAAAGTTTAATTGCTGAACTTTTTTAATTTGGGATGATTTTATTTTACGCACGGATTTTAAGAAACAATTTTAAAATAAGTATTTAAATTAAATTATCTAATAACTACTTTAAGAACTTACGAGATATATCAACAAGCTGATC